TAAATAAATAAATAAATAAATAAACAAATCGCCTACAAAATATATCCTCGTTCGTTTCTGCAGAACACAGTGTTGATTAGATTTAGAAAAAAGTGTTTTAGTGACATTTCAATTTTATTTATTGGTATCATTAAACTGGGCAACTGTAATCTTCTCTTAAATAAATCATTCTAAAAATTTAGTATATTCCATCGTTTTTGTTTCCTTTTCACCACTTCAGTCGGCAATATTATTGCACTCGGTTCACACGTCATCCGTACAAAAAGCAAATAATAGTCTTATAATGCAAATTACTTCATGGTTTTGTTTTTAGACGCTGACTTCTTCAGCGCCAATTTTTTTTTTTTTTGCCCCTTTCGTAATATCTAAGCCTTTTTTTACATTTGTATTTTTCGAAAGTTGCATCCAAAAAAAAAGCAGCTTCTTCCCTTTACCACTAACAAGCTGTATTAACGAGTTGCTTTCTGCACTTACAAAAAAAAAATGTTGCACTTACAAATAGTAACTTTAAATACCATCTTTTGTTGTTTCAAATTTTCTGTTTTTCAACCATTACAAATGGTGTACAACTACCGACGACTGTTTGTGCTTTTTTCCCAGCTTTTTGAATATATTACAACTTTTTACTATAATGAGAATGTTACGAAAAAAAGGAAGAAGTTTACGATATTCTGCTTGCCAAAGTATAATGTAGCTGACTGAGGGCCAGATACATACCATCATCGCAATATTCTGTGTTAAAACTACATAGGGACAATTTCGTATTTCCTGTAAAACTTTACAACTAATCTTTTAGCTTAAAAATTAGTTTATAACGTAACTTTTCAATAAACCTGGCCGTCAAATTTACGTCCTTTTGTCAAATCTGATCAGTATTCTTTAAGAAGATTCCATAAAACCCTTTTGGGAGTTTCTCTACCAGTCAATTTGCAACATTTTAGGACAAGTACTTCAAAAGTAACATTACTCAAAAGCATCTGTTTACACAGACTGAAAACTCAATTAGATCAAATAAAGCATATTAATTAAGCAGTTTTTTTATTATGTTGGCCTCAAATTGGCTAGAAATTTTCCTGAAACTTTTAGCTGAAGGTAGAGAGCCAAAACAGGAATAAAACTGCAATTGCAGCAGCCTCAATTCTCAGAATGTTCAATTAAAAAAATAAAATCTTACACTAATTTATACCAAATTTTACAAAGTTACGCATATTCTTCTGTAACCAGCTGCAAATAGAAAGCTCACGGCGTTTTGAGTTGATAAATTTTTTTTATCTTCTCCACTTTTTCTGAGACTGTTTCTCCGATAGATATTTTTGCTAACATCTTTTTCCATTTTTCTCGATCCTGTCTCATTAATAACGATCACATTGCAACAAATAAATTAAAGCGGTACACGGAAAAGAGTTAGGTATGACTTGCTTTATTGTTTGGTAATCCTACAACTTAATTATATATGTCGTACTACTGCTTTTTTGAAGCATACCCTTCACAACAACAATCAATGAAAACCTACTGAAAAACTGTGAAGATACTTCTGCTATAGTAACAAACATCGGTGGCTTAGTAACCTCTCAAATACTGCACAAATGTTTCCTTACCATCAAGTTTCTGCTTTTTATTACGATATGCTGTTATTGCTACGATGAACACTTTACAGCCACGACTTTG